GCTGGAAATCAGTTTGTGAAACATCCTATGGAGAAGTGCTATTTGCGAAGACTTTTTCAGGGAAAATTTTTCATTTCATGAATAACACTCATCCCAACCCTTTGTTCTAAACGACTTTGGTACTTTAGCTGGCATCTTGAAGTGACCCTGCGACCGTGACCCAGCCCGTCAAGTATAGAAAAAAGCCTGCCGAAAACGCTAAACCAAAAAAGGCTGCAAAAGCTCTGAAGTTAAGGACACGACATGTAGTCGGGGTGGTCTAGTATGCACTTACTACTAGATATCCATAAGTAGGCATTGTTCGACAAAGTTCTTACTCATGTTAGGGACCGAAGTAAGGTTGGGGTTATCTACTGCTGCTGCTGCTAATCCTCGTTTACAAACATCGGTGTTCTGACGATGAAAACGAAAGCGTAAATGTGGTTAAACAGTCGACGCAGAACACCAAAAATCGCGAAGTATGCACATATTCTTGAAGGACACTTTTACACTCAGCGGACTTTAGTATCACCGGAAAACCCACAGAGGAGGAACTATATTCCAAACATATACAGAAAATGGTGAGCTTAAGACTGCATGTGATAATTATATTGCAATTTGTCTGCCACTAGCCTGTCTCTGACGCGTCATTTTACGAACATTATTCCTGCAAGCGGTCAAAGTAGTGTTTTTACTTGGATCGCTACAATCATCAGGCCGAATCCCGGATTGGTAGTAAAAGACTTAGTTCACCAGGATGAAGGTCATAATGTTCACAGAACCCTATGTTGCTCTCTCAGGCAGCAGCCAGTTTCATCCCTTGGTCTAGCCGCTGACTGCCCGTCCCGTTCATGGGTAATGGATAGTACGATCTTATGCTACAGTTAACTGCCAAGTCCTCCCCCAACACCTCACTAAAATGTCCACGGTTCAATTCTTGCGGTCCACGCTCGAGCATGCGCAGTAACCAGGCTGTTTGACAATTCGGGCCAATGGTTGCAGAGTATGCAGACTCATTTCAATGGTTCGAAGGTGGCGAACGAGGATGGCCACTATTTACCCCCCAGGGCATGGCAAATTCAGGGCCGCGAGTTACGCAAAAAGTAGGTGCGCGGCGCTTAAAAAGGCAGTCGTTGCGCCAGACCTCAGCCTTCTGTGCCCTGCCGCTGCTGGTCCCTTGACTGCTTATTCGCCAAACCACAGACC